AGGGAGAGGCCTTGGAGGGGCAAAAGCAGGAGCCAAAGCCTGTTGGCCGCTGCCAAAGGTGGCCCTGCTGGCAGCACAGACCATGCATGGGCCAGAGGTTCCTCTCCACCACATGTCCTGAGTAGTGTGAGGCAAGCTCCTGGGCCTATGGCACGGGGGGCACCAGGAAGGGACAGAGCCGGAGTCAGCGTGGGAGAAGCTGAAGGCACCTCTGGAGATGATCCAGTCCAACCCCTGCTCCAGGGGGTCAGTGATGGGACCGGCCTCAGTTGGGTTTTGGATATCTCTGAGGATGGAGGAAAAAGGAAAGGTTTTTCCTCATGTTCAGATGGGATTTCCCGCATTTTGGTTTCTACCGATCGCCTCTGGTCCTGTCTCTGGGCAGCCCTGGGAAGAGTCTGGCTCCACCTTCTCCGCACCCCCAGTAGGTCTTTCAACACCTGGACAGAAGATCTACCCCGAGCCTTCTCTTCTCCAGGCTGAACGGTCCCAGTGCTCTCAGCCTCTCTCTTCTGAAATGGAAAAGTCTTCAGCACTTTCATCGCCCCCTTGGCTGGGCTCTCTCCAGGGTGTCCATGTCCCTCTCGTACTGGGGAGCCTAGGCTGGACCCAGCGCCCGGATGAGTCCCACCAGGGCTGAGCAGAGGGGCAGGATCCCCTCCCTCCACCTCCTCCCACCCGGCTGGTGGCCGTCTTTGCCCCGAGGGCACCGGGCTGGCTCACGGCCAGCTTGGCCAAGCAGGGAGCCAGAGCCGGGGGGGGCGGGTGTGAATTTGGGGGGTGCTTTCCCCCTGGTGCCTGCACGAGCGGGAGCTTGGCAGCAGCAGGGGGTACGGCTGAGGCCAGAGCAGCCCCGAACCCAAAGGCAGGGGGTGCTGGCAGCCCACCCACCCGTGGGGACTCGTGCTCTGTGGCTGGGACCTCTCGGGACTGGTTAGAGGAGGGCATCTGCAATTTCTGACTTATTTAACATTGGGTGTCGAAACTGCTTTCTCTCTCACCTTCCTGATACTGCGCCTGCGTGCCCAGGTCGCTGCTTTCTGGTTTATCTGGCGTCGTTAAACAGATCTAAACAGCCCTGCAACCCCCATGTGCTCCACGATGTGAACGGAAAAGTTTATTTCCCCGTGGCAGCCGGCAACAGCGCCGGTGCCCCGGGAGCCTTTCCAGGGCAGCACGGAGCCAGCACCCCCTGCCACGCCGGAGAGGGCCTGCTCTGCCCCGTCCTGCCAGGGGCCGGCGCTGGGCTTTCAAGGACAACGACCCTTTCTGCGACCATCTCGCGTCTCTTATCAGCCACGTCCAACAGCGGTGGCCAGCAGCAGGGCACCGTCGGGGCTTGACGCGTCCCCAGGAGCCGCGTGATGCAATGCTCTGCAACCAGAGCAGGAAGGGACCCGGGGGTCCTGGGGGACTGCAAGCGGCCCAAATGTCGTCAGCGTGTCCTTCCAGCTGCCCCACGTCACAGACCTTTCCTGGGAACATCGTGCGTCTCTCATCAGCCATGCTCCACAGCGTTGGTGAGCGCGTCACCCGATGTGCCGCTGCGATACTTCCCCGGGGCACCACGAGCCTCTGCAGCTGCCCAGCGTGCTGCCCGAGCCAAAAGCCATCGCTGGAGGTGACTGCAGGCCTTCCGTGCTGTGAGCACCAATTCTCTAGGTGCGCAGGTCCCGTCCTCCAGCTCCAGCCATGTAAACCGCCAGAGGGACATCATCTCCTCCGTGGTCCTCAGCTCACTGGGAGCTGATGTTCCTGCTGGTTCAGCGGAGGCAGAGGAGCTCCGAAGGCGGGTTGGAGACCTCCCGTCCACCTTGCAGGTCCACTTCTCCCCTCGCCTGTGCCATCATGGCCCAACCTGAGGTGGCATTGCACGGGGGATGGCTTAAGTGTCTCCCAGTCTCCCCCTCGTGATTCACTGTTTCTGGATAAGACGAGGCCACAGCCTTGCCAGGGTTGGGGAGCAACAGGAGGCCAGATCTGCTCCAAAGTCCTCTTGCTGGCTGGGGGGGACTTGTGTTTGCCCACGTTTTGGGGGACTTGGTGCTCGGCAAACACTTTTGTCAAAAAGCAAAGTATTGGGGCGGTGGTGCAATGAGCTCCTGGGGTCTCTGCAGCCACAGACCCGGTGTTTGGGCAAGCCTCCCCCCAACGTGCCATGTTCTGGGGGAGCCCTTCCACAGCCATGGCTCAGGAAGGGGGAACATCTCACCACGCCTGTGTCCCCGAGTGTCCCCATCTCATCCCCGGCACCTCCTGCTGTCAGGTCCCCCCCCAATGTCTCTGCCTCCACCCTGCCCCACAAATCCCCCGGATCTGCCCTCGTCCTTGCTCAAACGTGCCTGGAACTCCTTCAGGTGTGGGAGGGCTCCAGATCCAGGCCCCAGGTGCTGTCCCCTCCCAGAGGGGTCCCTGCTGTCCTTCCCGGAGCCGCGGCATTGCCAGAGCCCCTCTCCAGAGCCCCCACCCCGCACCGGCTACTCGGCCACTGGTGGCTGGAGACCCTGTCCCCGCTGTAGGGAGGATGAGTGGAAGTCAAGGTGGCCTTGGCAGCTGGGAGAAAAGTCCAGATGGGGCGAGAGGAGATGGGAGTCTGTATCATAACCCAAACCTGGGCATGGGTTGGGCTCCCGTGAGCGGTTGCTCACCAGAGGCGCTGAGACCTGCAGCTCTGCTGCCCCTTGGGACCGGTCCCCAGCCCCACGTGGAGCAGCTCCAGGGCCGAAACCCTGATGGGCAGGAGAACGGCGTGGGGAGTTTTGGGGCAGAGAGCAGCACGAGCAGTGGGGGACACCCCTGGGGAGCCCTGTACCTGGTGACTCTTCCCTACGTGGGCTGATGGCTCCCTCCCTCCCTTCTGGGCGAAGAGCAGTGGGGCTCAGGAATGAATTCTGTAGGATGAGGGCGGTGAGGCACTGGAGCAGGTTGCCCAGAGCAGTTGTGGATGCCCCATCCCTGGAAGGGTTCAAGGCCAGGTTGGTCGAGGCTTTCTGCAACCTGGTCCAGTGGAAGGTGTCCCTGCACGCAGCCGGGGATAGGACTCGATGGTCCCTGAACGTCCTTTCCAACCCAAACCACCCCATCACTCTGTGATCCTTTTCCCTTCAAATTCCCCATCACTGCATGGGAAAGTGCCCTCCCAGCAGAGCCAGCGTCCCCCTGCCCCCCGCCGGGGCGCTCCCCGAGGGCTCCAGCCGGGGGAAAGCACCACGCTGACCACGGTTTCACAGGGCTCATTTTATTAGCAAAGTTTGGGGAAAACGCCCCTTGCAGTCCAGGTACCAGCTGGAAAAGGGCTCGGCAGTCGCAGGGGACCATCGGAGGTCGGGGCCACCGTGCAACGCCGCCACCGCTGCCTTTGTGCCACTCTTTGAAAATAAAGAGGAGGGCTCGG